AGGGGCGCGTGATCCAAGACAACTTCTTCCTGGTCCAACAGACAGTCAAATTGCTACATCAAAAGAAATTGCCCTCTTTGCTCCTCAAGCTCGACATGTCCAAGGCCTTCGACTCCGTGGCCAAGCCCTTTCTCTTGGAAATTCTTCGACATAGGGGTTTTGGCTACAAGTTGACCAATCTGATCGCTTTGCTGCTGCGCACATCCTCCTAAGAGTCCTCATTAATGGCAGCCCCACCGAGCCTCTCGAGCACGCATGCGGCCTACGACAAGGCGATCACATCTCCCCCATGATCTTCCTGCTAGTGATGGACGTTCTCAATGCTTTATTTAGTATATTTGATCAAGAAGAGACCCGCATTCCTATATCTAAGTGGGGCATCAAGAACCAGTCGTCCTTCTTCGCGGACGATGTGGCTCTTTTCATGTGCCCACACCCGGTGGATCTCAGAGGCACACGCGAACTACTCCACATCTTTGTTGGCGCATCTGGGCTTCAGGTTAACATGTCGAAGAGCGTGATAGTCCCTATACGCTGCCACGACGTGAACTTGCAAGCAATTACGATGAATTTCCCATGCGCCACCACGGAATTCCTGATCAAATGCCTGGGCCTACCTCTATCTCCTAAGAAACTTCTCAAGGCCGACCTCACGCCCCTTGTGGACTCTCTGGCAAACCAGCTCCCGGTGTGGAAAACCAACCTCATCCCAACCTACGGTCGGCTCGCGCTACTCAACTCTGTGCTCACAACCCTGGGAAAATCTACCATATGCTAGCACTCGATCTACCGCCATGGCTATTAAAAGTGGCAGACAAGATACATCGTGGATTCCTCTGGGCGGGCTATGATTGTGCGCGCAATGGGAAATGCCATGTGGCGTGGGCCAATGTTTGCACTCCAAAGGATCTAGGCGGCCTTGGAATCCATATCCTCAAAGCACTGAACGACGCTCTATGATCGAAATAGCTTTGGACGACAAAGACAACCGACGCTCTGCCGTGGAACCCACCGCTGCTAGAAATCTCTAATGATGCCAAGGCCATATTCCAGGATTCCTCCTTATTCCATATTGGTAGCGACGCCAACACTCTTTTTGGCGGGACCATTGAGTCGACGGTTACAACATCCCCCAAACCATGCCTGACCTGCCATCATTGGTCAAGCCAAGAGCCTTGGCCACACAAACGGTGCAGGAGGGCCTACCAACGCGTGTTAGGTACGTGAACTATGAGGAAGACTATTCGTGAACGCCATTTGCCAGTTCCTGGACTTATGGGCCAAACTATTGGTGCAACACCTCGCCACTCACGCTGATTGATGGACTTGGAAGTGGACTCTGTCGGGCACCCATTCCACAAAAATAGCCTGTGACACTACTTTCGTGGCGCGCACTCGTTGCGGATGGGACGCTCTCATCTGGCAACCATGGGCACCAATGAAGTTCAAATACTTTGCCTGGTTGGTCCTTTGTAACCGGACTTGGACTTTCGATCGATTGGCCAGAAGAGCCTCCCCCCCACCAGGTCGCTTGTCCTCTCTGCTGCCAGGAACAAGATACAATCAAGCATCTTTTGTTGCATTGTGTCTATGCGTGCGAGGTTTGGTCAATCACCCACCACTGGATCGGTCTGCTCAACCATGCGCCAACCAGCAATAGCGAGCTATAGTCCGGGTGGCTTGGGATTCAGCCCTCCATTCTATCGAACCTATGGAAGGGCATCAACCCAATCTTCCTATGTACATCGCGATGCATTTGGCGTGAACGCAATCACGAAGTCTTCAAAAACAAATCTCGACCGCCACACATTATGGGCGACACTATTAGAGACACTTGCTATGAGTGGTGGAAGGTGAGGAACGGTAGTCTTAAGAGAGTTATCACGACATAGCCTGTGCCCAGGTGGCATCGAGGGTATGGCGATCGACCTGTGGCGCTGACCCAAAACCCTTGTAAATTGTGTTTGATCTCTATCTTAATATATTGGTACACAGATCTCCTGCGTGTTCTAAAAAAAAACTTCTACAGAGTTAGACTCCGCTTCTAATGTGTTAATGCCGAGGGAATTTGCATGGTAAAGTCCATCCTTCATGGCAAGCGCCTTCATAATTGTTGCATCCACTGCATACGAATAGAAAACGCACTTGCCAACAACAAAAAGAGCCGTTTGCGTCTCTCAGAATATCCATCGCTCACACGCATGAATCCACATAAATTGATGCGACATTCAACTTCATACATCCAGGGTTTGGCTTGATGCTAGTGTGATTTAGCATATTTAATCAGTTTTGCTAAGTCTTAGTCGACTAAGACTTTGTTATGTCTCAGTCAATGCTATATTCTTTTGATCTTGCATGGAGATTCGTATATTTTTTCTTTTTTCTTTTTATATACAGTACTAGTATGTCACTTGACTAAGACTTGATTAAATCTACCTAGACACACCTATATTTAATTCCAATACACATCATATGATTCATCACTAAGGGCATCTCCAACAGGTTGTATGTTAGTCTTGTTGGTAAAATGTCCATGTCATCAACCAACAAGCTATCATACAACTACTCCAATGGGTTGTATGTAAGCTATCCAATAGATGGTGAGACAATAAATATGATTGCTCTCTATTTCACCTTGAAGCTTGTGCAAAGGTTGTTGGTTAATCTACATACAACTTTGCTCTCTCTCCATATTTAATACATGCCACATCATCACTATGTTCTAGGTGGCAAATTTACCAATACCTATCTCACAACTGTTGAAGATGCCCTAATAAAAAAACTACTCCTAGAGGAGTTTCTTGGCCGAGTGTGTCAGGTGATGTGAGTGCCGGATCCGATCCTTCGAAGTTCAATCGCACGGTGGATACCGTGCAGTCAACGGCGCAGCCCAACTGACGCGGTCAGCGGGTTTTCTTTGTGAGGATCAGTAGGGTTTTAGCTCAACCGTCCGACCCTATGGAAATCCCCCCCAGCTCCGCCCCGGCCGGCGCCGGCGGCGCGGCCGCCCCCGCAACCCCCGGCTCCTCCTCGAACCCATCCCCGCCGGCCAAGCGCCCCAGCATCACGCTCCGCCTCCTCTGCCCGGCCACCCGCGCCGCCGCCCTCTGCCCCGCGAGCGACCTCCACGTGGAGCACCCCCCCGTGGGGGACGAGGCCGTGCTCGTCGTATCCGGGCCTGATGCGCCGGCCGCGGCCGTGAGGGTGTGGGAGCGGGTGGTGGGCCACAGGGTCGGAGGCGACGAGGCGGGGGAGGAGGGGGAGGAGAAGGAGGTGGCCGGCGTCGTGGGCTGCCGGATGCTGGCGGCCGGGGGGCAGGTGGGCTGCGTGCTGGGGAAGGGCGGGAAGACGGTGGAGCGGATGCGGCTGGAGAGCGGCGCCCAGATCAGGGTCTTCCGGAGCAGGGAGCAGGTGCCCCCCTGCGCCTTGCAGGGGGACGAGCTCATCCATGTACGCATCTCAACTCCCTAGCCTTTTTTGTATGCAAAGATGAATGAATCTGGGTGTTGCTTGGTGGGGTATAGTCCATGAAACCAGTGCCGTGCCTGTGCCGGCAATCTTTAAATTGTACACTTAAATTCAGTAAGAAATTAGTATGGTTTAGGATTGCCATTTAAATGCTTGCTTGAACTGTGCAATTAAATTTTGTAAGGAAAATGAGATTAGGATTGTCATTTGCCACTTTGGAGTGCATTTTGTAGGTAATTATCAATATTAGTTATGTGTTACAAAGAATGCGTTGAGCGATTTGAGTCACTCAATTAGGTATGTATAAAGATGTTAAGCAATTTACTAAGAAATTCACTACAGTGCGTCCACACACCGTGCGATGTTCGCGCAGCCGCTGCCACTTCCCTGTGACGTTGGCATTCAGGGCAATCACATGGCGCTGCCACAAGCACTCAGCTGATTATGTGGAGGGGAGCCAGTCGCTCTATGAGACTACTCTATGCACGTTCACGTGTGATGATTCCTGATTTTCTAAATACTGAAAGGAAATGTCCTTATCTGCAGCATTAACCATCAAATGTAAAAATAATGCCTGGAGACTCTGTGTCAAAACATCAGCCAGTTACCTGGCATATCGGACAGTTAATTCTTAATTGTATCTCGGCCACCTGCCGATACGAAAAGCACCTATTTGTGCAATTAACTGGGTGGGCCGATTTATTGGTCTGTGAAGCTGATTAATCGTCTGTCAGACCGAATTATCAGCTGGGCCGATCGACTGCCTGGGCATTTTGGCCCAAATTTAGCCCGTTCCCTCCCTTCTTCCGCAGCCGCCCGCACATTAGGTTAGCCCGTTCCTCCCTTCTCCCACAGCCGCCTACGCATTAGGTTAGCCCATTCCCTCCCTTCTCCCTTCTCCCACTCATTCTCCTTTTCCTCCCACTCATGGAGGAGCAGCCGCCGCCCCTAACCCTAGCAGCCGCCAGCGCCGTCCCCTCCCTGAGCACCCAGCGGCACTGTCCCTTCCCCGAGCAGCAAGATCCCCTCCCTAGCAGCTGCCAGCACGGCCCCCAGCAGACAGATCTCCACTCCTCCAGCTGCTTCATCGCCTGCTCCTCCTGTCCTGTGTCCATGGCGTCGCCAGGCAGCGAGGTAAACTCCTCTCCTCCTGCTGTTCTGCTGCTGTGCTGTTATCCTATAGTATCTGGTATGTACTGATGTGGTGGATTTGGCATCTGTAGCAATCTACAGCTGCTTCTACTGCAGCAAGTACCCCAACATTGATTTTTTTCTTCAGATGCAGCCTATGATATATAGATATGGCCCTAGTTAAGCTACCAATAATGGGTTACAAATAAATACAGTTAATAGACCGATAAGCTGATTAATCCCTACCCAGCACCTGACCGATATGCTAAGAATTACTGATATCCTGAACATTCAATGAACATTTCGATGGCCTCCTCTACATCAGGACACAACCACCTGCCTGAAATGGCTGCCTTCCCATACCCAAGCAGACCGTTGAGCATGAAGCCATGAACTGATGCCGTTCGTTTGAACACCATCTTATCGATGGAAGGCCCACTGCTGATTACCTGCATTTCTCAGGCTCAAGTTTACATGCTCTTTTGTGGATTTGTTGCTAACCCCGACAGCCTTTAGGAGATCCAGATCAAAAACGTCATCCCCTTCTCTATGAACTTTCATGCATATCATGGTCTTGCCCTGTCTGGCTGTGTGAACCCATTGAATCCATACCGTCGTTGTGATCTTGTTGTTCAAGGCCTTGGCGCCAGGTTTCACCATTAGCTTCAGCCTGCTCCACGGATGCCGCTTCCTCACTGCACTTTGCCCTTGTCAGCAATGACTCCCTCCTGACCCTCAACCTCTTTGTCCCGGGGCTCGAAAGCCTGTTGTCTCCTTCTCCTCCAACGTGCTCTTCAACTGTGCCCAGTCACAATCCCATGCCTCCCTCCACCATCACTCCAAGGATGATTAGTCCATCATGCCACTGTGTTGTTTGGCCCCAGGGCGTGGGTTGCGCACTTCATGGGGACATGTAGGACGGTGCAACTTGCAGATGTGGTGTAGGTTAGTTCCCTGGGGTGCATCACAATATCACATGTCTTTTGACGAGGACACGGTTATGCATCTGGCATGAAAGGATGACTCATTTGAGGAATTTCAGCAGGAGGGCGTGCTCAACTGTATGTGTTCCACTGTTCACACCCCATCATGCAAGGCGCTCATTTTCCAAATATGTTGACCGTTTGATTTATGTTGATGTAATGGTTGTAATTCTGGATATGATGTGGAACAATGATGATTCTGCACTAGGAGTCAATTTTAGAATGAGAGGTTTTCTCTGGGTGGTGAGCTGAAAGCATAGAATGAGACATAGTATTAGAATGTGGTTGTGTGCCTGAGTTGGCATGGTTTTGCTCAAAATACTAATATGCTTGCTTGTGAATGAACTTGACCATATGCTGCGAATTGGAATATCATAGAATGCTGGAAAGAAGACACCGTTCTAGCATGATGATTTTGGTAGGCATCTAAATAATCTATGGTTGGTTTATGTTAAAGGTCATGGTCTTCTTGTACCTCAAATACATGTGCCCGTATTAGAAAATGGGCTCTGAATGAACTAATCTTGCTTGCTTTGTACTTGGCTCTAATTTAATTCATAGTTGGGCACCTAAAGTGAGCTCATTCTTGTGATTTCTGAACAAAACTGTCTTATCGATGATACGTTTGCAGAGATGTCGAGTTCATTATGATCGAGTCCCACCCCTCTACTTGTGAACCTTTTACACAAGCAGTCTTTTTTTTTTCTCTCACCAAACCATCAGGCAAGAAGAGTTGCAATTTCTAAAATACTTGTGTGGATTGCTTGGAGATTAACCAGTTCTACCTGTTGTTATATTTAACTGGTAATGGCTTTTCTTAGTTTTGCGGTGCTCGTGAAATCAAGATTTGCTGTTATATTGGCATGTTAAGCTTTAACCTGGATATTTAATCTTTTGATTTCACCTTATTCTAACATGATGATGTTTTCCTGTTAGATAAGTGGGAGCTTTTCTGCAGCAAAGAAAGCACTTTTATTGGTTTCAACCTGCCTCCAAGATAATCCTAGGCCAGACACAAGCAATTTTCCATCTGGAAGACCATTCGGGCCTCCAGGCAGTGGAGTTGGTTGTCCACCTGGTGTGGATCCTCATTCTCAAAGAAGCTATTTACCACCACCACATGTTCCTGACTATCATGCAAGGAATTTTTCAAGCAACGGTGCTGCCCCTGGTCCTAGATTCTTTGTTGAACAAGAGATAATGTTCAGAATGATATGTTTAAATGACATGGTGGGCGGCGTAATTGGAAAAGGCGGTTCCACTATCCGTGCATTACAGAGTGAAACTGGTGCTTCAGTCAAGGTTATAGACCCTGTTGCTGATTCGGATGAACGTATAATTGTGATCTCTGCGCGTGAGGTGTGGCTCTTACTTTCTCCTCATAACTTAGAAAGAATCACTCATTTTCCTCTTATAAAGTTTCAAGTAATGAAATTCTTATATTTCCTGTGGGAAACATTTTTTGTATGGATCTGCGTCTTGGTGAATACTTGCATATCATGACAATGCACAGCAAGTTGGATGCTGGCTCTATCCTGCCAGTATTGACAAGGATATGGGGATTTACTTTGTCCATTCATTATCTGTTGTCCGAAATTTTATTGATGGATGCAATTTTTGTTTGTGCAGAATTCTGAGATGATGCATTCTCCATCTCAGGACGCATTGATTCGGGTATATTCTAAAATCTCGGAGGCGTCTATGGATAAAAGTTCTTCTGTACCTGCCAGGCTTCTTGTTCCAGCGCAGCATATTGGTTGCCTACTTGGCAAAGGTGGATCCATAATTGCAGAGATGAGGAAGGTAACAGGAGCCAGCATCCGAATTTTTGGGAATGAACAAATTCCAAGATGTGCACAACGAAATGAAGAGCTGGTTCAGGTATGTTCCAGCTCCACTAATCAACCACTCCAGCTTTTGACTTTTCGTGCCTTTGTATGTTTCGATCTCGTGGACATCACAGTTATCTCTAGGTTACATGCCCTTTTTATAGTTTGCTAATATGCCGGGAACCCGCGTGGGTGGGCTTGGGGTTGCATGCATATAGGGTCGTAGAGAAAAAAAAGTGCTGGGTACTAAAGATGGTTGATCTGAAGTGTCAGACTCTTAACTGAATGAAACTGTGTTAGATGGATTGTCTATTGGTGTATTTTCCTTAAAAGCACTGAAGCTTCATCATTGAGTGTAAACTTAGTTTACTCCACAGCAAATAATGCAATGTATTAAGAATGTTCATTTAGTATGAAATGGAAATAACAGCATGCATCAGCTTCAAGTTGTATTAGCAAAAGGTCTCGCGTTGAATATTTAAAAGTTATTTCTACCTTTTTTAACGTACATCAGGATTCAAAGAGAACTACATAGTACATTTTCTCTCTCAAAAAAAAGGTAACTGCAGGATGCCTTTGTCCTGTGAAGTAGTATAAGAGAACTAATATTTTCTTCGTTCATGTACTGTAGTTATGCTGCAACTCTTTCATGGTAATTTCTTAACTACCATGAAAATAATAGTACGCGTCAACTTGAAGTTGTATTAGCAAAAGGTCTTGTGTTGAATATTTAATATTTTTTTCTACCTTTTTTAACGTACACCAGGATACAAAGTGAACTACAGTATACCTTTGTACTGTGAAGTAGTTTAAGAGAACTAATATTTCCCGTTCATGTACTGTAGCTATGCTGCAACTCTTTCATGGTAATTTCTTAACTACTACGTATTTTGTGCTCCAAGTCCTCCATTTGGAACATGATCTGAGTTAGTTGGTTCCTTCACATTGTTTCCCTTGAACCTTCCTTCTAAGAAAATACACTTATGATGCATATGTGCGTCAGTCATCTATTTTGATATCATGCTTAACAAATATAGGATCACCCAGAAGAGACGAAAATAGAAGATCACTTAAGGAGGATTGTTGAGTAGATGCAGTTCAGACTATAACTTTCTCGAGCCCTTGTTGCAGGTCACCGGTAGCTTTCAGTCCATCCAAGATGCATTGCGTCATATCGCTGGGAGGATTAGAGATCTCATCATTCCCCCGAAGCCACATCCTAGTGGAGGCATGCCTCCGTATCCACCTGTTGGGAACCCTTCTCATCATCAATCAAGACAAGAAGCTCCACCACATCACAGTGGAGGCATGCCTCCCTATCCTATGCATCCTTTCAGACCTAATCCTCCTATGGGTCCTTTTGATGTGGCAGATCATCGACCACCTGGCCCACCTCCTTCACATCCAATGGAACACATGAGTGCTGATAGGATGCCCTACCCGTATGGTTGTGAACAAGGAGGTCCTCGTCCTTTTGTTGAGCAGCCATCACCAAGAACCTGGGCTCCTGAGGTTAGTACATGGAGAATGCTGTTTGACATAAGCATAACTAATTTAGCATGTTGTTGGTAGCATATTGTGCACAAAGGTCTCTATTAAGAACTTCCACTGTCAAGTAACTCCCAGTAAAGGTTGCAGTTTAGGATGATCTGCCATTGGATTTTGTTCAAAACATCATTTGTATGCACATCAGATTGCTGATTTAGGCACTGTGGTTGAATGTATAAGAATCAGGTCCCTTATCATGTGCAGGCACCAGCAACTGACGCTCCAAGAAGCATGCCTGATATAGTACCAGCTGTAGATTTCAGAAAGGGACCAGGGGCAAGGTAAGTTCAATACTAACTGTTTGATTCAGCTTTCTGCATTCTTTTTTAATCATTACACTCTGGCTGTGTAACTAGAATTTACCATCAGATGATATCTTTTTGTTCAAAATACAATGTATACAATCTATGTGGAAGTTCTAGTCCATTGATAAATGAATCTGTAGGAGTGATCCTTTTCTTGAAGAAATTAACACCATTTTTCTGACATCATCAGCAGTGAAAACCAAGTGGCTACACCAGCAACTACAACAACTGAAGTTGTCATTCCTTGCAAGTACATAGGTTTTGTTTGTGGAGCCAATGACAGTGACCTCGCTGAGATAAAGAAGGTACTTGCACTCTTCTTTATTGTTTACCTAAATCAGATTAAACGATACTTGTCCCATGTTACCTTGTGCTCATCGTATAAATGTTGGCTTGTCGTTTTGTCTTAACTCTTAATGCCACAACACAGTCCGTGCATATCACTTGCATATATTTCAGCCTTTTATCACTCTTGTAAACTCACTTGAAACAGTCTTAAGTCCTGGCTGCCTCTGGCTCTCTAGCCGTAAACTCTATGTAACCCGTTTAAGGAGCATCCGGCCACAGGGCTGACAGTGTTGCCTACCTTTCAGATATCCGGCGCTGAAATTACAGTACATGATCCAAAGCCCGGAGATACAAATTCAACAGTTATTATATGTGGAGACCCCGAACAAACGAAGAGGGCGCAGAGCCTGATTCATGCTTTCATTTTTTGTGGTCTCTACCAAAAATGACCCGCAACAGTAGTGATATTCGCCATCATAGACCCGTGGATCCTCCTCGGAGGTTTTCCACCTGGAGAGTTTTTTGTTTTCCTTTCCCTGAGAGGTTGTGTGTACATGTACAATAGTGATTGGGTTGTATGTAGATAGGATTGAATTGGTGGCTGGCTGGACACACAGACAGCGCCGTTGTAAGTTGTTGAGTCGATGATAGCTGGACGCATGGCGCCATTGTATTGCTCAAAGTTGAGTCGATGTAACTTGTTGTGTTTGGTTGAGGGAATTACCATGGAAGGCGTGCCCAGCTCTCTTGTCATGTCCTTTTCCTGCCTTGCCGTTCTCTTTGAGCTCGCCTCTGGGCTGGGAAGTTGGTCCTGCCTGTTCTCTGTATGATCGATCATTCATGGTAGGGAGTTTCCAGGAAACGCTATGGTCAGGCAAGGACAGCTGATGCTGGCATGACTTGACCTGCAGGATCAGAGACGACCCGAGTCAACCGCACCTCGAGATTTGCATTATTGCAATAGCTGTCACCCTCGAGTCCAAATAATTCAGGAACCATGTGCAAGGCCTTCGTTTGGAACTCAGGAATTTCATGACAACTGCTGTAAGCGCTAATTACTTCCTTAGTTAGTACAAAGTTGAGTCACTTATTTTGGGACGGAGGGAATAGTTGGGAAGAATTTCAGCGGGGCATGAATTCCTTTCTGGACAAATAAATACTATTAGCCGGAGGCAGTTTTCTTACGGAAACACCGGACAGCCACGGCATCTTGGAATATGCATGGTGGTACGGACCATTCCAAGTTACCAACTGGACACGAAGAAGGCCATTTTTGTGCAGCAAGAACCCAGAAGTAGAAATGCACAGCCAAGACGTAAGCCTAGACTTTGGTTGCTACTAGAAGAAACGCACATCCAAGTCCCGGTGGGTCTTCCCAGAGGAACTTCTAGGCAACCGCGAGCTTGACATTTCTAGGATCTTGTTGGTATGCTTTCGGATGTGCTCCACTAATTAATTATCTATCCCCGTGCCTTGGGCAAGACTACAAAACGATGCTCCAGCTTTGGGTGAGACCTATGCTTACCATCTTGTGCCGTCAAGCATGCATGCATACGACTCTTTTTTATACAGCCAAGCATGCGTAGGATAGGACTTGGGTACCTGTCATTATGGCTTTGTAGCCAGGCAAGGACGAGCGAGTGAAGAGTAGCCCCTCCGTCTCTGGAAACAAGTCTCGTAAATTTTGTCTTAAGGCATTGTTTGATCAAGTTTTTAGGAAAATTCATCAACAATTGTACATTACTAAATCGATACAATAAGAAAATATAGGTATTGTAACTCTTGATAGCTTTTCCTACAACTTGCTCAAACTGTACAGCGCTTGATTTTAGATAAATTTATAAACATTCTTTTCAGTTGAACCAAGAAGTTTGTAGAAAAAATTTCAATATTATCAATACCAAAAAAATATCACATTGGATTCATGTGGAATATAGTTTCATACCGTATTTATTTGATATTTTTAATATAAATTTGGTCAAAATTTTATAAATTTTGACTTGAGACAAATTTATATGCAGAGTAAAAAACGGAGGGAGTAAAACGTTGCTACATATTATTATTTAAAAAACTTTGTGTTGTGTTTTCTTTTCTCCCTTCGGAAGGAGCTACCACAAAATGATTTATGTTGGCACACGAGTGATTTTAGTTCATGAAAATGACAATTCTCCACTTGGCAGTCATGTATTATGCATGATTACATCTTGAATTGTATGTACTTTAGTCCTTGGGTGTAAGTGCAACATGAATTTACTTACGTAGTCATGCTGCTCTTGAGCATGTGGGACGTCGTGGGACGAATAAGTTAATGTGCAACTCACCATCTTGACATTTTGAACCTAGGTACCATACTGGCAATAATATACAAAAGGACTAAAATAACAAACAACTTACCGTCCCATGAAGAAAAAGAGGAAGTAAAACAAAAAGATGTTAGGCCAAGAAGTTATGCACACATATGACCATCTTAGCACATATGTACTTAGCATGTCTACACTCAGCATGCATGCATCAGAGGAGAACAACCATGGTAGGATGCAACCAAACACAGTTAAAGTGAACGGAGAGAGAACAAAACACAACCATGAGTTGTTTCGCAAATACAGGTCGCAATGCATCTCCACGTGGGCCCATCCCGTCCTGCCCCTGACCTGTCAGTCACCGCGACAGCCGCAAAATTTGCTATCCACCCCCACCCGAAGTACCCGAGGACAAGTGCCATCCACTCGCCAGTCAAGCGCGGTGCCTTCCGCGAAGCTTCGCTCCCCCGATAAATACGCAGGCGGAAACGCGCGCACTCTGGACAGCACAGGAGACTCTGCTGCTGTCACTGAACAACAACAACAACAACACACAGTTGGGGCGCACGCGAAAACCGAGGTGAGGCGATCGCGCCGCCCCCGCTGAGCTACACAATCTTCCGCTGGGCCGGCGGCTCGGTGTCGTCTCTCCTGCGACCGACCGCGGCACGGAATGGCGTCGCCGCCGCCGGAGGTCGCCGTGCCGGTTGACGAGGAGGACCGGGAGACGGAGGGAGAGGATATCTGCGCGTTCGACATACCCGGCAAGAACGCCCCGCGCGATCGCCTGCGCCGGTGGAGGGTACGTATGTCATCTTCGCCATTTCCTCGCTGCCGCTCCTCCTTTCGATTCAAATTTTAGTACGTAGTAGGGGGTTTTCTTTTCGGGCTGGAGGTTGGGGATGAAATTGCGGAAAATCCATGTGCACACCACGATATACTCCGTATCTGTTTTGCGGTTTGGCCTCCACAACGTCGCTTCTTACGTTGGGGTTTTTGGGTTCCCTTGAACGGGCATCTGCTTGATCGATCTGTCACTAATGCCGTTCAATCATCACTGCATCAAGCAGCTCTGAGCTTCTGATGGATGAATCACGAATGCCTGATAATGGCGGAGGGCTGGATTAATCGATTTTTTTTAAACAAGGAGTGGTTGAATTTACGAGCAATGACTTAATGTGCTGAGAAACTCTGTGGGTGAATGTTCGTTGATTCATGTGCACCAGGATGTTGCATCAGCTACTTCATATATCTGTTGTGTCTGTATGTTCTGCCCATATATTTCTAAATTGGAGTGCCTTGTGTAACTGTTGCAGTTTTTTGAGATGATAACTGTTGCAGTTCGGTTTCGGTATCTTATAATGACTGCCTCAGGGTTATAATGATGTTAAACCACACCATTGATCATTGTGAAGCTTACGGGTAAACTTGTATAAAGTAGGAGGATGCTACCCCCAGTCTAGATACATCAGAATCTGGAAAGTTTGTTAGGCTATATTTTTCTTTAGGTAGTACTGGAATAAATTTTAAACTGTAGGGGCTTTGATGTTCCATATCACCAATGAGAATTCTCAAGAAAAACATAAAGTGTGATGTATAGGAATGTGGTATTTTTTTACTTCATGTTTCATCTTATATTATTACTTACAGCATTGCCTTTTCTCCCTCGTTTCAGCAAATTGCTCTCGTGCTCAACGCTTCACGTCGTTTTAGATATACTCTAGATCTCGCGAGGGATGAAGAGAGAGAAAACTTGAGAAGAATTATACGAGCTCATGCACAAGTTATACGGGTAAGTAACGTGGCGTCTGCCAGTAGACAAATGATGCTTCTCATTGACGTATAACGTTTGCTCATTCTATATTTGGATTCTTCAGGCAGTATTCCTTTTCAAAAACGCTGGTCAAAAGGCGCTACAAGGTACAATCTCCAGTTTCCTGCTAGTCGCTATATGGTTGGATGATTGCACACATTTCCTAACAAAATGGTGATGCATCACCCTGAAGGACCATATTTACATGTAAACACTGTGGCAATATTGGACACATCCACACGATTCATTGATCCATTTAATATCCATTGTTATGTGATGATAACTTTTCACATTTGAACTGAAAATATGCCATGGACACCCATCTTAGCAACCTTTAGCTTACTTCTTCTTCCGCATATTTCTGGTTATTTGGCCACCTATGTAGTATTTGTTTTTGTGAAGTGTGTGTGTGCTTAGTCAAGACACATGATACCTTATATATCTCATTTCATTAAATCTTAATCCAGTTATTCCTGTTAGATGCATCTTTATCTTGTTTTTAGTTTGATAGTCTAAATTATAGTTGATATAATTCTGTTTGATCAAACAGAATCTTACGATGGTACAAAATTTGAGTCACTCTCTCAGAGATTTCCAATTGATCTGGAAAAGCTTGTAATGTTGAACAGAGACCATGAGGCAATTATGCTTCAGGAGGTTGGAGGGGTAGGTTCAAATGAATTTCACCTGGATTGACACCCTTTTTATTTTTTACTCATATATCTCTAATGGCATGTCCTCGCAGGTCAGTGGGCTTTCGGATTTACTAAAGAGTAATTTAGACAGAGGAGTTAGCTCAAATGAGGACGAGCTGTTGCAGAGAAGAGACATTTTCGGGGCAAACACCTATCCGCGCAAGAAAAGAAAAAGCATATGGGTACGCAGTTTTCCTTATGCTATGGCAGTAACTTTTTCCGGCGTGCCTTGTCTTATTGTTCATTGTTCTTGTTCTCTTGTGGGCTGTAGGGGTAAATGAAAAGTATTTCATGATGTGAAACTATTTTTCTATGACAAGTATAAATTTATTAAAGCTGAATGTATATGTAGTGATTGCGGGAACAAATATACTTTTGCAGCGTCAGAACTTAGAGCATACATGCCCACCATGTGAAGTTTACTCTTCCTTATGGAACTTCTGAGCCTTAAATCCATATATCATCAAGTTTAATATCTAGCAAATTATTATTTGCAGCGCTTTGTATTTGAAGCTTGTCAGGATTTAACTCTTGTGATTCTAATGGTAGCTGCTGCTATATCATTATCATTGGGCATGGCAACAGAGGTACTTCATGACATTATGATTTACCTTGGCTCCTTTCTTCATGTATTCATTTTGTCTTGTCTTTACACTGTAAGAATGGTTCAATTTCATAATACTTATTCCTATTTTGGTTTCACCATTGACGCTTTATTTAGGGTGTAAAAGATGGATGGTATGATGGTGGAAGCATATTCTTTGCTGTTTTTCTTGTGATATTTGTTACAGGTAATAACAGTATGTTCTATTTTTATTCTTTTCTCTCCTATTGTTATTGAGTTTTGTGCACTAATCAGCTCATACAAAACCTTAAGTTGTCAAGGGAAGTGGCAGTTATACTGATATTTCAACACCCTCCCTCACATCGGGGATTATAGGCCTACATTGTAGACTGGATGTGTTGTAGTGCTATTGGGATTCACATGTAGGCAGGATGCACCTGTGCAAATTTTCTTGAACAATGCATCTGCTCAAATGGTGTCAGTGTTGTGAGTCACCCCCGGTATTTTCACAGTGGCACCTTTCTTTTAAGAATGAAGTAAAATGAGCTGCTGGCTGTCAGACTCAGAACCTTTTGCTCTGACATGGTAACGATTGTAATGCACTAACCAGTTCATAGAAAACCTTAAGATATTAGGCAAAAACATGTTGCTGTACTGGAAATAATCGTGCTCTGATATTATATATGGCGTCAGTGATTTGCATACATGTTGCTGTACTGGAAATAATCGTGCTCTGATATTTATTTCTTCACAACCATTTTAGCAACCAGTGATTATAGACAATCTCTTCAGTTTCAACATCTGAACGAGGAGAAACAAAACATACAAGTTGAGGTGAGTATGTTCATCCTGATAATTTTAGAGTGTACTTTTTTTGTTTGGGACTGCGACTCATTGGCAGTGCATGATTTATCGTGACTAATAATTAGGTTATCAGAGGTGGTAAGAGAGTAGGAGCTTCAATATTTGACCTTGTGGTTGGCGATGTTGTTCCCCTCAAAATTGGTGATCAAGTAATGCATTCATCACATATTCCACCTTTTGTCTACATTTGAGCTATTTTTGTCAGATTGACGTGATTACATGCATTATTTGACCTTCAGGTCCCTGCAGATGGTGTCCTGATATCTGGTCATTCTCTTGCAATAGACGAATCAAGTATGACGGGAGAGTCCAAAATTGTAAGTGTTGATAAAAAGGAAAAGGCCAATAATTATTGTTTTCTGAAATCTGCCTTCTTAAATGTTCAAGTATGTTATACTAATGTCAGGTTCATAAGGACCAGAAGGCACCTATGTTGATGTCCGGTTGCAAGGTCGTAGATGGCTATGGCTCTATGTTGGTGAGTATCACTTGGTTGAGCCTTCCAAGTACATGAAGTGTTCAGCTTGTGCTTTCGTATTACACAATTGTGTGGCTACCGGTGTATTTTCTATAATTTGTTAGCATCTCATTCATTCCATAAACATATAGGTAACAGGCGTGGGTACTAATACTGAATGGGGTACGTTGATGGCCAATCTTTCAGAAGATATTGGTGAAGAAACCCCGTTGCAGGTTAATTTCTTATGTTCGTTTTTTACGACAAGTTAATTAATTTTTCATGGTATGTACCACGCAGAGAATAGTGTCAACTTATATTGACCTTTTTGTTTATATTTTATGACGGTGTTCCCACTTGTTCAAACTGTGGAGCAGGTGCGCTTGAATGGTGTCGCTACTTTAATTGGTATCGTGGGTTTATCAGTTGCTGGTGTTGTCCTTGTCGTACTTTGGATAAGGTGGTTTTCTGGTACATTCGTTCATTGTTATGGTGCACTTTAAGTAAATATTCTACATTTCGTGGATATGCTTCTCATGGTCACCTTCCATCTAAAATGCAGATATTTTACCGGGCATAGCAATAATCCAGATGGAACTACTGCATTTGTGGCTGGGACTACTGGTGCAAAACAGGGATTTATGGGGGCAATCAGTATTTTTACAGTTGCTGTATGTAATCCTAACCAAGTTTTCTTGCTTAATTACTATGATGATGAGGAGCATCAATTCTTTCCAAGTGAGCTGATTCTACAGCATTTGTCACCGTAGGTAACTATTGTGGTTGTTGCTGTGCCTGAAGGACTCCCTTTAGCAGTAACATTGACGTACGCATCTTTTACCTTCTTTATACAAATTCCTTAGAGATGAATAGGTGCATTAAACTGGTGCTGGTTTTCTTTCAGCCTTGCATATTCAATGCGAAAGATGATGCGAGACAAGGCTCTGGTAATGCATACAAAGAGATTTACAAAGAAAAACCTTTACTCCAGTATAAATCTGTGTTTTTGGTTTCGCATACAGGTGAGACGACTTTCATCTTGCGAAACAATGGGGTCGGCGACCACGATTTGCAGTGACAAGACTGGAACTCTTACCTTGAATAAGGTTTGTAAAGTCAATAGGCACTCCTCACAGAAAAAGAAAAGAAAAATGCTCTATGTACTCCACTGCTGCACTGCATATAATCAGTAATGTCTTCAGTTTGTGAAGTGCTTCTGTATCTTATTATTTTTTCTAATTGATCGTCTAGATGACAGTTGTGGAAGCATATTTGAGTGGGACGAAGTTGAATCCTTGTGATAATACTGGGATGATATTTAGCAGTGTGGCATCTCTACTTGTTGAAGGAATTGCACAAAACACAGCAGGTGCTGTGTTTTCACCAGAGGTACAGTATAATACATTTCTCTTTCGGTAGGTTTTTCCTTGTACTTTTTGCATAATATGGCAAGCACATCCGTCGAAGTTCACATGTCATACCGAAGGATGCCATCCATTTTAATATGTTTCCTGTCTATAGGATGGAGGAGCTGCTGAAGTTGCTGGCTCACCAACTGAAAAAGCAATTCTTTCTTGGGGTCTTGAGGTATTTCATATATTCTGTTCTGTTCATCATTACTTCTTCCAAGTTTGTCCCATTAAATTGACAATATCTTTCATTCATCATTATTTCTTTCAAGTTTATTCCATAGAATTGACAATTCAACTGAATAGATTGGGATGAATTTCACCGATGTGAGGTCAAAATCTTCAGTTCTTCGCGTTCTCCCATTCAACTCAGTGAAGAAACGTGGTGGCGTTGCAGTGCAGGTGGTAAGCACATTTTCATGTACTTGATATTCTGAAGGAAATCATGTAATGTTAAATAAGAAATAGTCCTTTTTAATCTTCATTATTGACTTTCCTTCTATGTTTTAGTGCTAAGTATCTGACTTTTTCATTGGTTTTGCATCTTGTAGTTTCTTTGTGCGATTTACTATCTTTCAGAAAAATAGTTCTCACACACTTGCTGCATAAGTTGTATATGTTTTGTCTGATCCTGTCAACATAACATTTGTGTTTCTTTACATTTTCTCTTTGCCTTGTTTGGTTCATTTATGTTGTACATGAATACATGTTGCAAATGAGTGCTTTGTCTTGAATCTTGATCATACTATTTATGCTGTAATAAAATATTTCCTAGTTCATTTTAGTATGTGTTACCTCAGTGCTATTTGGTTTTGTAAGTGCAGTCAGATGCTTATGTACACATCCACTGGAAAGGTGCTGCTGAGCTAGTATTAGCATCTTGCAAAAGCTGGTTTTCTGTTGATGGTTCAGTTCATCCAATGAGTTCTGACAAGGTAAATACCAACCCAAATTAATTCGGGCCTCACTTCTGAAGTTTTACTAAGTTGTTAGTGCTTCTACAGTATAACGAATTGAAGAGATTCATTGACGATATGTCAATGAGTTCACTGCGCTGTATTGCTTTTGCATATTGCACCTGCGAGCTCTCAATGGTTCCTAGGGAGGATCTCGATAAGTGGCAGTTGCCTGAGGAAAATCTGACTCTTCTTGGAATGGTCGGGATAAAGGTGTGTGTTGTGAGATGGTGTTTACTTTATGCTTCTACCAGCATTTGAAAAGTTGTGCATGGCCTCTTCTGCTCTTTCTGTTCTCATTTATGGCTAATTTTAGCAGTCCATGCCATGATGCCATATCAGCGAAAAAGAATACAAGGACAGAATGGCCCATCTTCATCTTGCTAGTTGGATGCTTCAAAACCACAATGTCAAGTTTGATGTAAATGAGACACTACAGATTATTAAGAGATGGAGAAACTGAACCAAATGTGTCTTGTTTGGAGGTTTCTGTAAAATAGTTAGTCATGATGATACTGGGAGAGTGGCACCGGGATAATGGAGAATCACGGGACATTATGAAAGAATGGATTAGATGAGTTGAGCCCACTACGGTTGGCAAGCACGTCAAGCGGTCCTTCGCCAACTATAGTTTTCGGATGATACTTGGCCATGCTAGTTCATCAGTTTTATTTGCATCACTTGTTCCTCATGTTTCCCATCATTGTTAAAATGCCTGCTTCTTTCAGAACTCTTTATGTTCGAATCTGTTTAGGCGCAATTTTTTTTCCAGTTTTGCCATATATAATTTCTACCTACTGATGACTGCATGCAGCTATTCAGCCCTATAAATTCTTTTTTGATGTAGGATCCCTGTCGCCCAGGAGTAAGGGACGCTGTACAATTATGCAGTGCTGCTGGTGTGAAGGTTATTATCATCTATGGTTTATTATTGTTTGCTCTTATTTTCTTTCCTTCTATTTCTCTTTCAAATTCTTCCCCTGGGATTTTTAACTTATTGAGTTTATAATAGGTGGTTAGGATCAAGGCGGTTCGCTTTTAAAATGTTTATGATACTTCAGTTCCTTTTTTTTTTGCCTGTACCTTTTCCATTTGATTTAAATATCCTTGGTACTGCTTCCATACCATGTTAGGACAGTAATTCGTCATGCCTGATGTCTGTTAGTTGGTCGAATAATGTGATGGAAGTGTGTATATTAGTGCTGAGCAAATCCAACTTAATGCCGATTTTGTTGTTCAATTCAACTAAAACAATAAGATGGTAAAAAAGCAGATATCCTCTGATCATTGTTGTTGACTTGTTTCAGCTATGTATTGCAGTGATCAGATGGGTAGAAGTTATAATATTAAGCTTGATTTTATTTGTGTTTTAAGATAACATATTGGTTTCTCGCGTTTGATTAAAGCATTATTTTGTTGTTCTCAGAAAGCATATTTGTTTTAGGTACGGATGGTCACTGGAGATAATGTTGAAACAGCTAAGGCCATTGCTTTCGAATGTGGAATACTAAATGCAAAGGATGCTGCTTCAGAGACAATAATAATAGAAGGGAAGGTGTTCCGTGAAATGTCTGAAACTGCACGAGAAGAAGTTGCTGACAAGATTACAGTAACCCACCTCTCTCTATCCCTTCATCATCTATCTCATATTTGGAGCTTTCAAAACCACAAGCAGCATCTATGATACAGTATAAAGTACTATAAAATATCTTCTATAAATAAGAACAAATTTTCTATGATACAGTATAAAGTACTTTGTAATTTCTTGATGTAAAATATCTTCCAAGTTTATGAATTTGTTTGCTAAGTGGTCTCAGTTAATCTATCTACTTTTATTTCAGGTAATGGCGCGGTCTTCTCCAAACGACAAACTTTTGCTTGTGCAAGCTTTGAAAAGAAAAGGCCATGTAGTAGCTGTAACCGGTGATGGCACTAACGATGCCCCAGCATTACATGAGGTCTGTCTGCAAGACTACAACTATGTCGTTATGTATTGAAGTGTCAATCTAAAATCATCGTGTAATCCTTTTTTTCTTTGGTCTTATAGGCTGATATCGGTCTTTCAATGGGCATCTCGGGAACAGAAGTTGCTAAAGAAAGCTCAGACATTATAATCTTAGATGATGACTTCACATCCGTTGTCAAGGTTGTCTTCTCCAACATCAATGCATAATGTCTATTTTTATACAGAAGAAAAACGTCAGCATGTTAGCCTGTCATTGTACTTTCAGTTATCACACATACCGGCATGGTTTGTCTATATGCAAATATATCTATTTCATGTGATATATTGTGACAGATGCATACACAACAGTTGTACTACGTCACATGCCATAGTTGTGGTCTAGTGATAACTTATTTTAAACTTCTATGTAGAGGAAAAATCTTGACTTTCCTTCCTTGTGTTAGGTTGTTCGTTGGGGACGTTCTGTCTACGCAAATATTCAGAAATTTATCCAGTTCCAGCTGACTGTTAATGTCGCTGCCCTGGTAATAAATGTGGTTGCTGCCGTGTCCTCTGGTGCGGTTCCTCTGAATGCAGTTGAGGTTGGACTCTTTTCTTGATTTGTGTTATCTTCTTCTAATAGCTATATATCCCACAGTTATTATCTCATTTATTATTGCCTGTTTATGTGCATTCTTATTTGCTTCAGTTATTAAGCTGACATGCACATAAAAAATATTGTAAGAAACAATCAAAAATATGTAATATCTTTGTGGCAGACTGCTAAATCTTATGAATAAATATGGCGAACTACTGAAATATTATAGGTGATGCTGCAGAAATCTTATCTAAGATACTCTGAAGAAATGCCCTGTTTATTTGTTTACAACCATATCATTTTTCACCTGGCAGCTTCTTTGGGTGAACCTTATCATGGACACACTGGGAGCCCTTGCATTAGCAACTGAACCACCAACAGATAACCTAATGAAGAGACATCCTGTTGGCAGAAGGTACGATACACCATTCTACAAATTATTGACAAATTTTCTTTATATACTGTTATGTACTTTGTCGGAAAAACCATCATCATACACTTCTTATTTCACTTCTGCAGGGAACCCCTTGTTACAAACATTATGTGGAGAAACCTGTTTATCCAGGTCTCTAATTGTCTAATTCACCTGTACATATGCACACATGCAATTTTAAACCTGTTGAACAGCTTTTCTTCATATCTATATGGATCTGTTGCAGGCTCTTTATCAGATAACAGTTCTTCTAGTCTTCAATTTTGATGGCAAAAGGATTTTCCATTTGCATAATGAAAGTCGAGAGTGCGCTGACAAAATGAAGAACACCTTTGTCTTCAATGCATTTGTCTTCTGCCAAGTAAGATCACTGGCAACATTCATCGATTCAATATTATAGCGAGACTATAGTTTGCTGTCACTTCCTTGTGTAGCCCTAGCACATCCCCTCTGAATACCGATTTCGTTGTTGGATATGCATTAAAGATGCAAATGTACATATTCCTGATACATGTAGGAAATCATAGAATTCTTTCCTTACGCCTCATGTGCCATTCATGTCAGATCTTCAATGAGTTCAATGCTCGCAAGCCTGAGGAGAAGAATGTCTTGAGAGGAGTCACGAGCAACCGCCTTTTCATGGGTATAGTGGGTATAACAACCGTACTTCAGGTAACAACGTAGTAACTTGCTATCTGAACGCATACATGTTTTTGACAAGGCACAAGTAGTATCATCATCTCATCCAGCAGATCTTAAAAGTTGAGTTTCTGGACATCATCTCATCTTGCAGATCTTGATAATTGAATTTCTCGGGAAGTTCTTCGGAACTGTTAGGCTCGGTTGGAAGCTATGGCTGCTATCAGTTGCAATTGGTGCAGTCAGGTATATATAGGAGAACTCCATCGCACAGACAGGACACTTCTTTTCTACTCTGAATGCATATTTGTGTACAGTTATTTCATATATCCAAATATCCCTTTGTTTATGTGCCAGTGGTAAAGAATTTTTTGTCAGTTTAATTAATCTGGGCATTAATTTTCCAACACGTTGATGGCAACCCATAAATTACACTCTGAGAACTGTTAAAGAGTGATTTATTTCTTCCTTCCAATGGCCACATTACCATCTCTCTGTCTGTCTTTCCAATCCAGCTGGCCCCTCGCGTATGTTGGCAAGTCCATTCCTGTTCCGGCCAGACCTTTCCAGGATTACTTGAAGCACTGTTGTGCCTGGAGAAGGCCACGCCGCCGCGGTAATTTCCCTGCATACACAGTTGCTGATCCTTGTGCTTCCTTTTGTTTTCACCCAACGAGCTTATAGTAACTATCCCCTACATGCATTCCATTGTGTGCTGCAGATGAAGAGCAGGGCGGCAAGAGCTGAGACTTAGCCCGAGGACTAGGAGCAATTTTTGGAGAAGCTGCAAACGGGGCCAAAATTCAGGCTTCTTCTCGACTGGAGCTTCAGAGAGGGGCAAAGAGCAGCCCCTGTAGAATTGGGCGCAGATGCGCCCATAGGGAATGAGAGAGAGGGGAGCTTTTTTTGGGGAAGGAATGGTAGATATCACTCAGTTGTAGTAGTAGTCTACAAAATAAGTACGGTAGTACTGTACGGGGTTAGGGTTAAACTCCCATCCAAATGGCTGTGAATTTGGAACAAGTTGTTGTGCTGCTAGAGAACAGCTTTCTTTTGCTGCAAGTTGCAGCTGTTTCCACTGATTGCTGGTGCCATGTGTAGGCATAAAGCCAGGCCCCTTTTGCTTATTCTGTTGGATTTAACAGCTCCAAGTACCAGCAACTATTGTCATTAAGCTACTGCAAGGTCTAATGTAGCCCAGTGCGCATGCACGGCGCGAACCTGCACCGCTGATGAGTGGCGTCAGGGGCCGCCGGAGCTGTTCCGGCAGGCGAGGAGAAGATGAGACGGAGACGGAGATGAAGGCAGCAAGCCATTGAATTGGGTTAGTTTTTCTTGCGAGCTGTTGCTTTTTTATTTAAGTAGAGAAACTGCAACAGAGTGATGATGACCACAAAGTATCATCAATAGATAAACTTGCACAGTTGTTAGACTGAAATCACATCTTCCATTGAGAATAAAAACTTCAGAGCCAATTTCTGCCAGAACTGGTGAGCTGATATAGGATGATTATAAGCAATACAACTTGGTACATGAGGCACACTCTTTTCGCATGCCATGCCTAGAGACAGACCTCACGGTCCACTCTGTAGCACACTGTAATCATGCATGTGCCTGTGGTGTTTGTTCCCAGACAACATTCTGATACTGTGCTTCCCACAACAAAACCTAAATTAGTAATAGTACAACAACAACACTTGCATATCTACCCAAAGCATGGCCAAGCAGCTCACTTCAGTTCATTCTTATTACTGACAACAAACGATCTAGGCGGCAGCACTAGCAGTAGCATGAGTAGGCGAAGTGGCTCTTCTTGGTGATGTATGTGGAGACGAAGTCTGAGGCCTGCGCCGAACCGCCCACCACCGGAGCCGGGACAAGGATCTGGGTCAGGCCTGCCGCGATCCTCTTACCGGCCACGTTTCCGTAGAACATACCGGGGATGGCGGGGACGAAAACGTCGGTCTGCGAGCAGACCTCGAGGTCCAGGGCTCTTGCTAGGTCTGAATCGCCAGAATTCAGGAATTCTCCTTTCTTCTCAGCCGGCATTATGTCATCCTGCACAAAGACAGATTGTAAGTTAAAAATCTGGTCAAGAGAAAACAGAATATGACGCGGACTAATTAAATGGTACTGGATGAGTTACTTGCCTTGGTATAAGTGTGTGGAAATGCCCTCTTCAGATTATTCAGGCCTTTGTGCCACCATGTCTCTGTCAAGTAGATGGTTGTATTAGCAGAGAAGCCGACCTTCTTCAGGAAATTCAGAACCTCCTGAGGATTGTAACAGCCTTTCCTTCTTGCACCCGCGCTTGTTTTACAGGTCTTCTTCTCTAGCAAGTCGGTCCGCATATCGACCGCCAGCACCCTGCCATCCGATTTCTTGCTTAGCTCTTTAAGCCTGCCCAGCATCTGTTCAGCCACTTCTGAATATTCAGCGTTCAGTTTGAGCCCAGTGAACATTGCATGGCAAGCAGTTGAATCCAAGTCCTTGTTATTCGTCCCTTTCGGTTTCAAACTTACTGAAGAGAAAATAATTGCAAGTCGTAGGTAACTGTTCTTTTGGAAGGCGGGCTGGATGGTGTCCAGGATGAAGTCTTCTGTCACCCTGTTTGGTACTCTAATAACGGCTGGCTTCTTAGTGGTCAATTCAGCAGGAAGTTTATCTACTACTTTGACAACACCATCCAAGTTCATCTTAAATTTTTCCACATCGTACATGTCTTGGAATTTTCTGTTCATGAAATTTATATCATTAGTTCAGAATTGAGATGCCACCCCAAAGTATCAATCATCAATAATTGTTCTTCAAAGTAACAATCATCGGAGTCTATGAAATGAAAGCACAGTGATTTTGTGGAATTCAGAATATTCATTATTGTCTATTTTAGAGAACTTACTATTCATTATTTTGAGTTGCAGAACCGAATGTATTTATTTGGGCAGAACAGTAGAGATATGACAAGAAACTTCTTTGCATTGTTTATCCATACTAAGTACACAGTTCAATATTTAAATAGAACTAACCACTCATTGACAAAAAGAGTCACCAGAGTTGTCTTAAGACAGTGTTGATGTTCATTTGTGGGAAATAAATCAAGGTGCTCATATAGTGAACAAGAAAATTTTCTAGATGCTCATGTGGTGAAACACATGTTTTCACCAATAGATGTCTGCAGGAAGCCATATCTTATGGAACAGATTAAAATTGCATCATTTTCTAGAAACATACCGACTCTTTCCTAATTCATTTCCTCTGATTTCTGGAAGTACAAGTGTAGCTCCCAGATACCTTGCAATCACTACAGCATCAGCAATCTGCAACCAAAGGGCAAACACACAAACATAAGCTGATTTTCTGTTTACTCAACTACATTCATGAGGGCAAGTTCCAAGTTACGGGCGTACCTGTGATGCATGGTATTCAGGGCCAATAGTCAATGACAAGGTAACAAAACCGTTAGACTGATCATCCTCTGCAGAAACCACAAGCATGAGTAACCAGATTAATCGGTAATAGTTATGGATGTGACGGAAAACTTCTTGAACACATAATATTGTTACTTGGGCTTGGTTTGGTCCAGCACGGCTTAATCTCCTCAGTAGCCTCGAGCTCCACTCCAGCCTTGGTTATTTCAGTATTGTCTGCGATCTTCATTGCATTGAGCTCCACGCCTGTTGCGTCCACGGCCAGCTGTTGGATGTTCAGTTTGAGAGCAGTTATAGCATGGCCACATCAGTTAAAAGCAGAATTTCTTTTTCCATCAGTTAAAAATAGCAGTTGATTTGTTTGTCGGCAGAACATCTGAACAAGTCAAGGACTGGGAGACAGGGAGAGCATAAGCTGGAGGATTGATAGTGATTCATGAAATGGACAACCCTCACTGTCTAGCTCATACTCTAACATGAGATTATTTCTGTATAAAGAAATTAAAGTCTTTGCTTTGCTTCCCCTTCTGCATTTTTATCTTTGCAATTGATGGTTTCTTTTGACCGATATATGTCCCCACAAACTCTGCTTTTTCTATGGAAAGCTCGTAGTCGCAGGAGGGATAATTTATTAATTACCACAGAAACCAAGCTTCTGATTCTTTTTTTGACCCCAAAGCTTGGTGCAACGTGCTGAAAAACTAGGATTGGATTATTAAACCCTAGCTAAGCCCTCAAAGTCAAGGTCACGTGACGGTCTGACACACAACTCTCGAGAGTCGAGATGCCTTCCCTAGCTTAGATCCACAAATCACTTCAGATTTGGAGCCATCCATTGCACAGTGAACTGAAAAAACATTAACTGAACTTTTATCTGAGTTTTTCATGTGACTGCGACAGCAAATCCGTTGAGATTTTTGGCAAGAACTGGTACGAGAAAATGAAAAATTCCCAATCCTAAGCACAATACTGCACAGATGGGTCAAAACCACAGAGGCAAAATCACCCCTCGCATCTAGCGCTCTATGGAGTCTGGACCAACCAAACGATGCAGAATCAAGTGAATGGTAACCAAAATCAGGCAACAGAACAGAACAACAGCAGGACCCCCAAACGCCCCCCGCAAATCTCCCTCCAGAAAAAGAACACCCCTGTAATGCAAACCGGAAGCGGGCGGGGAAACGAGAGCAGCTATGGAGGGGGGAGGGGGAGGCGGGAGATCTCGGCTAGTACCTCGGAGACGGAGGTGAAGTGGTCGTGCTTGATCATGTTGCCGAGCATGACGAACATGGAGAGGGTGAGGAACCCCGCCAGCACCTGCCGCGGGTCCACCATTGCGGCGGCCGGCCGGCGGCGAGCGGAGCGGAGAGGAAGCGGATGAGCACCGACAGGCGAGGCGACAGCAGCACGCGGGTAGCGCCGGGCTGCGCGTGTGCAGTGCGTACAGCCGCGCGATAGGGGCGTCTGGACTGGACTGGAGATGGAGTGGCACTGGCTGGGGCTTTAACTGCGGAGATTGCGATCCTGACACGGGCCGGGTCGCCCGGCACTTGTATAATTTATCCGTCCTGTTAAGCCTCGATCCGGAGAAAGTGGGTTTAGTACGCTTGACAAGGGAGATTAGTGGCCTAGTGGGCTCGGCTGTTTTAGTAAACTCCATAGAACCTGCCAATTGTGCTTCTCATCGTGCTCCATTTTCCATTTTCTTTGAGGGGTCCATTTTCTAATTTTGTTAGTAGGATCACTTGTGAAAATAAATTGTGATGTATAGTTTGGTGCGAGCTCAATTTTGTTCCGGTGGGTTTATATGCTATTTTCTGCTACGGCTTTTTCGGCGAGTCAAGAAACAATGAGGTGTGAGGATAAATTACGCCGCGTAGACTCTTATTTATGGGATACTTCTATAGTTCCATTGCGAAATTGCTAAAGTCGCACTTGTTTATGTTTGTTTTGTCGAGATGCGCGAGCATTCGTCATTAACTCTATCGCTACAGCTATAAGTGGTAGAGATGAGAATCATGTCTATAACAATAATTGGACGTGTGTTCTGGCCAACTCTAAGCGAAGCACCAGCCAAAATTGGCTTCTCACGATCCTCTCATTCAATACATGTTTCGTTCCTTGGGCATTTTTTTTGCCTATTAATAGTGTCATACACTTGATAACTGTGTCGAACATTTTATTTGACTTCTATAGCTCATGGATTCAGAAGAAAAAAATCCCAAGGCTTATAGTACTAATGCATTAAGCAATGAGAAAAACTCACATCTTTGACCTTTTTCCGAACCTTGTAGATTTAAACGCACTAAGGAAGGAGAA